CTGGCGGTTCTTCACGGGCAGGACGGCTTTCCGGGTCCAATGGCGGGCGGCGGCAGGGACCCGAATGCCCCGGACGGAATTGTTTTAGTGGGCTGGGCTGGGCTGAACTGGGCTCCATGGAGCTGGGCTGGGCCGCTCTCGCGCCTGGCAGCCCAGGGTCTGCACTCTGTTCGGCGTCGGCGTCGGCAAAAATTCTCGAGCCCCCGGTCTCTCCGTCATCTGCCTCCCGACCACCAATCTCCCTGTCACACACATCGCCATCGCTGGCGCGCCGCGTTCCTCACTCCTCCTCCTCCTTCCTCCGCCTCCCTCTTCGCTTGTAATGTGCGTCTCCCCCCGGCGTCGCACCTCTGAGCTCTACCCGTCCCGTCCGCCATGCCGCGAGGGTAACGTCGCCCTCTGCTGCATCACCGCCCAACACCATCACCCTGGATTCGACAGCCGCCGCCGCCGCCCACCACCGCCCCGAGACGCCCCATAGGCAGAGCCGGGGCCTCTTCGCCCTCTTCGACTCGCGCGACGACGACGACGACCTCGCGACGGCGCGTCTTTCGCGCCGCGACACCCATCTCCACTCCGCCTCCACCTTCGTCTTCTGGCCATCGGCCTTTGAATCCAACCGCCGCGTCGTCGCCGGTGTCGTCCGCTGCCCCGCGCTGCCGCCCGTCTCCTTCATCACCATGTCCCAGCGTCGCAGGTCCGCCGTCCCCGAGACGCCGCGCGTCATTTCCCCCAGCCCGACGCCCTCGGAGCTCGACGCCGCTGAATACTTTGGTCCCACGACGCGTTCTGCCGCCAGGAAGCGGGTCTCGACGCCGCACACCCTCGACGAGGATGGCGCCGAGGACGAGCACGAGCAAGACGAAGTCCCCGGCCTGCGCAGGTCCCGAACGAGGAGCCGCTCGCCCATCGACGGCCGCAAGATCGCCCGCATGACGCCCAGCAACTCGAGCCAGGCGACCAAGGCAAAGGCGAAGGCGACAAGTCCAACTGCCGGGAACGGGAAGCTCGGGACCACCAATGGTCATCTTGCTCCTCCCCAACCCACCGCGCCCTCGGGATGGAGCTGGCGCGACTTCAGCCGTAGCCCGAGCCCGCTCGGACTCATCCCGATCCATCGCCACTGGAGAACCTTTGTGCACAAGCACGAGGTCCCGCGCAAGGTCCTTCACGTGTCCATTGGCTTCTTCGTCGTCTGGCTGTACACCACCGGCACGCAGACGAGCTCCGTGCCACCCTATCTGATGGGAGCGCTGATCCCCATCGCGACCACGGACTGGCTGCGCCACAGGTACGAGTCTGTCAACCGGCTCTACGTCAAGCTGCTCGGTGCCTTGATGCGCGAGAGCGAGTATTCGGGCTGGAATGGCGTCATCTTCTACCTCCTGGGCGCCTGGATCGTCCTCTACTTCTTCCCCAAGGACGTGGGCGTCATGAGCGTCCTGCTCCTCAGTTGGTGCGACACCGCCGCCAGCACCTTTGGCCGCCTCTGGGGCAGATACACCCCCCGGCTCCGGCGCGGCAAGTCGTTGGCCGGCTCGCTGGCCGCTTTTGTCGTCGGTGTGGCGACGTCGTACTTCTTCTACGGCTGGCTGGTCCCGACCATCGGGCCCATGCCCGGCGACGAGGGCTTCATGTTCAAGAACGCCCTGTCGCTGCCGAGCTCCGTTACGAACGCCCTCGGCATCTCCAAGGCCGCGGCCACCATCACGGGCCCCTTGGCGCTCGGCGTCATGGGCCTGTGGTCCGGCTTCGTCGCCTCCACCAGCGAAGTCATCGACATCTTCGGCTGGGATGACAATCTGACGATACCCGTCCTCAGCGGCATCGGCATCTGGGGCTTCCTCAAGCTCTTCTCCTAGACTCTTAGACTCTCGCAGATGGACCTAGGTGTCTTGAACGGTCACTCCACTCACGACGGGAGACAGGTCGGTTATGCATCGTTGGCGTTTGGAAGGGTTTGACGGATTTCGGCTTTTTCGTGTCTTTTTTTACCCTCCCTTTCTTCGAGACTTATGGGCTGGAAATGTGACGAGTCGAGGTCATGACGATTTGGGGTTGCACAACCTCGAGATGAATATGGTCGCGCCAATGAGACAGGTTCGGTGGTTGAAATGACACTGGGTACGAAGTAGATAGGTAGATTTCCGCTTGTCGTCACTGGGTCGGCGCCGATAAGAGCGAGCCGGAGTGGCTCGTCACTTCTTGGCGGTGAGTCGGCCGCATCGTGTAGCACCCGTGCGGCATGATAATGGACAGGTTTATATCAGCTCGCCGCCGTCTCTGCAGTCGCCCGCAGCGTCTGCGATTCAGCCCATGTTGTGTCTGCCAGCGGCACATGCCTGACAGCCTGCAACGTCAACAGGCCCACATCCGACGTCTCACAACGACATGGCACTCGTGAGGTCCAGGATACGGGGAATGAGTTGAGAGCCGAAAGGTCAGGCTTCCGGAAGGGATCGAGTGCCAGACTGCCCCGCCAGGCTCTCCGCAGGCATCATGGCCGAGCACGGCGCGATGGTAGTCAGGCCACGGCTCAACTCCTGGCCACTCCGCTCCCTTGAGCATTCGATGAGCCGCTGCGGCAGGTTCGGGGAATACAGCGGGTTGCATGGCCACGTTTCTGCCTGGGCCCCCCGCCAGCCATGGCTGTCCTATGAGATCGTGCCCCATCATCAACGCTCGTGCAGGCGTTCTTCAAGGCCCACACAACGTGTGTCGTACATTACATATGTCCATGCTGCCCGTTTCGCCTCCTGCCGTACGTACTCGAACATGACGGGCTGCAGGCAGTTTGATGTACAGGTATGCGTTGTCTTCGCGGTGTCCGGGGGGAGGCGTGTGCATGGGCGCATCATGTTCGATTTCTGCGGCACCGGGTCCTGCACGGGCAAGCCTTGAACATGGAGGGTGGGGGACGTGGACGTGGCGCCGTGCCCTGGGGCGAAGAACAAGCCGCGAGAAAAAAAAAAATTGTTTGAGCCCCCAAGAAGGATGGTCTTCTCGGCGTGATGGCGGCGTAGGCAGCGCAAGACGGGTGGGCGCGAGCCGGAGGCTTGGATGGTGGTGTGTCGGCGAAAGCTTGCTGGCTGTCGTGCTCTACCGCCACCCACTCGCCCAATTCACCAAGTCTGGCCGCTCGGTAGGGGACTGCAGTAGCACAGTCTGGACGTGCCAGCTGTACAATCTGCACGGCGGGAATCGCCTCTGGTGGTCAAGGGACGCGCTCTTCGATGTAACCCATCGCTGTTGGCGAAAGCTTGCGACGGCCGTCACTCGCCAATGGAGGCACGCTGAATTAAAGTGCCGCCCCTCGGCGGATCGGCGACAATCGCGAAAACGAAACCGCCCTTGCGAGCCATCTCGTACAGCGGACGTGGAGGAGCAACTTCGCCGCTAGGGTGCCGAGCGGGCTCCCACTGGAGCGGATGGTGCAGGAGCTGAGGAAGTGGTGCAATGGACGGCGTTGCATCCAGCAGATAGATTAGCTGTGAAGTACGTTAGTAGGTCTGGAGCTGCCTCCCACCATTGACGGATCGCCGCTTATGACTTGGTCGACCTACCTGACATGGCCGGCAGGCGGTGGCACTCCCACTACCGCCAGTGCCACCACCAACGCAAACGCCTGTGGCACGGAGGGCCCTGGAAGGGTGTCCGCCGTTCGAGCGTGTCGCCCCGTAGAGTTGAATTCTGTTGCCTCTGTTCCTGGTCACGGCTCCACAGCGGCACGGCGCGAGACACCGTGGAGTCCCATGCATATGCCGTGTCTCCCACGCGTCGTCTTTGTTCGCCTCGTCAAGCAATCACGCCGCGGCAGGGGCAGTAGCTGTGGCTCGGAGGACGGCGCAGCTCGGGGGCGTGTCGCAGGGTAAGGCATATCGGGTGTCCGGCGCGCGCAGGGCATGGACAGGCGTCAGCCGTCGCCCGCGGCGATGACGGAGGGCCGGTCTTGGATGGCGGGGGAGGGGCAAGCACCGAGAGAGTGAGTGCCTTGAGGAGGGATCCATCATCCACCGTCCACCATCCATGTCGCGCCGACGGCGGGCTTTGCGGTCCTTGTGGCCAATGGCCCGTCGCAAAAAGGGCCGCAGGCGTTGGGTCGGGCCAAGTCTCGCCGTTCGTTACACCTTTGCCTCTGTCGAGGCCAAGTTCCTTCCCCCCAACCCCCCCAATGAGGCGGCGAGAAATTGGGCAGGAGACACGTCGAGACGAGAGGGGTGCGCCAGCCGGGACTCGGCGGCAGGAACGACGGAGAGTTGCCAGTACGAAGGAGCGCCGTACCTTTGATTAACTGATACCGGCACATACGTTCAGCCTGGTAGGCCTCTAGCTCCGCGGTGCGAGTAATCCCCGGCATGCAAGATGCGAAAGTATTACTGCAACCGTACTCTCCGGTACCGTGACCAGCAGCATCGGGACGCAAACCAGAACCTGAGGCACACGAGAATTGAACCCCCATGACAGAGGGACCAACGGAGCAGTTGCGCCTGCCGCCCATGGGCGTCCGTCAATTCATGCAATTCTCATTTGCAAAGACCCGCCTCGCGGCCACTCGCCGCACTGCAAACCCTCAACTTCCGTCCCTCCCAACCTGGGCCATCGTTTGGCAGGCGTCTTGACAACGCATCACCACCTCACCCGCGGCGGCACCGCCCGACCTCCACTGCCTGGCTGCACGACTGCCTGACCTGACCTGACTTGCCCTCCGCCCGCCCGCCCCCATGCCGTCGGCTTCGTCCCTCCGGATTGGAACTTTAGTATCGCAGTTCTGTGCCTCCCGGTGCGCCTCCCCCTCTCGCGCGCCCCCTGCGCCCCAGCCGACAGCAGGCGGCGTGACGGGGCTTCGGACAACGTGAACCTAACCTGCGGCCAAGGCCCTGACAGGCACAGCAGAGGATTCCAATGCTGCTTTTGCGCTTCACACGTCCGGCTGCTAGCGTCGCGGCGCTTGTTCCAGAGGGCCATGCTTCCATCCATCCATCCATACGTTACCGACACACCCACCGCGCGCACGCACACACACTCATGCACTCACGCACTCGCACACACACAGAGAGAGAAAAACGCGACACTCACTCGCCCAGCAAATCACCCGGTGCCTCTTCCAAATGGCCCATTCCGGCAAACTGCTGTCGCGTCGCCTGCCCTTTGTGCTCCAACGTGCCAACGTTGCGCTGCTGTTTGACTTACACGCATCCACCACGCGCACACGCTGCTGCTGCTGCTGCTGCTGCTGCGGCGTCGCCAATGCCCAGACCAGATGCTCCATCCGACTCTCGGATATCCTTGGCAAGCCGAGCCAGTTGCAGCGCCTCGCCCCAGGACGGACCCGTCCAACGCACACGGCTTCCCTCTTGCGCCGCCGTCGCCGCCGCCGCCGCCGGGACCACATATTGGGCACCTAGCGCGGGAAGCTGTCGTCGCCGCTCGCTCTCCGCCTTTTCGGTTCCATGGTGCTTCCCTGCCTGCCTGGCACCGAGCCAGATGGCTAGTGCAGCCACCACCCCTTGCTTGTCCGCGGCGGCGATTTGCCCTGCGCCCGCCACGGGCCTGGCCCAGCCAAATCCGCCACGCCTTTTGCTCTGGCCGGGCGTGCGTGTCAATCCCCCTCCAAAATGCACGTTCCGTCATCGTTCTCACCCCGGCCTAGCACCGACTTTCTGGGCCCTTGCTTGCCCACCCTGTAACGTAAGGCCTTCTCGCAGCTGGGCCTTTTCTCTTTTCCGGAGCCAGAGTCCCCACTCATCCCTTTTGATGCTGGGTGGTCTCGTCTCTTGCTCGGCATGTGCATTGGCTCGCGAGTGAATGTGGACGACGCCGTTATCCCACGCCAGCTCTCTTGCTCGTCTTTGCAAGCGCACATTTCGCTTCCACGTTGGCCACTGCCCTTTCTACTCCCACCCTACCCCCTTGGCGGCTTATTCCATGAATCCGTGAATCCATTGCCTCCGTCCTCTCGCCCCCGTTGGCTCGGCCGTCTTCCACGAGCCCCAGAACAGGAGCCTCCAGGGGGTTGTCTGCTCCACCACCACCGCCGCCTCCGTGTTACTCTCGCCGGCCCACCCCATGCAAGCCGCCATGATCATCTCGTCCGCCTCTCAGAGTGTCATCATATCCTCCTGTCCCGTCCTTGCCTGGGCGGGGTCGTCGTCCACGGCCTCGGCGAATAGAGATGGGTTATGTTATCCCTTCGGTATGAGCATATCGGCTTGAGGAGGGTTCCAGGAAAAGTATAAAAGGGCTCCTTGAGACCAAGATGAATCCATTTTCTCTTCTTCCTCTTTTATTACTTTCTCTCACAGAGATTCTTCGTGATCGCAAGTGCCCATACCAAGGTGCCAACCCAGACATTGTCTTGACCCCATACCACTGCCCAAGCATCACCATCACAAGCCTTCCAACGCTTGACACCTTGCCTGCCTCGGTCCTTCGTCAGCAGTCTTACCATCATCTCACACCAGCTCGGCACCGCGTCGCCCAACTCAGATCAAAATGTCTGGCCCGTACTCGACCATTGCCTACTCCATGCCCATGGCGGTCCCCTCCAAGGGGAACCAGTACCCCACTTACAGCCAGTACTCCATCTCGCCCCCGGAATGCGACGACTCCATCAGCTCGGCGTCTGGAGTCCCGTCATACAGCAACAGCGGCTACTCGGCCACCACGGCCAGCTACATCGGCAGCTCTAGCGGCGACTACGACAGCACCGGCTCTGCTAGCGGCGTCGACTTCCAGGAGTACATGCAGGAGCGCTTCGCCAACTCGTTTAATCCCATTCCCCTGGACCGCAGCATGGCGGTCCAAGCGCAGTCGTAAGTCAATTTGCGCCCACCTCTGGCACGGAACGGCGCATCACACCGGCAGACTGCCCCCGCAACAGAGCGGCGGCGGCCGGTGCGCGGATCGTTCGTCTAGTCGAGAGAAAAAGTAAAGGAAAAACCCGGCTAACGAGCGACAATATCTACAGATCTGGAAAGCTCAACGCCAAGCACCGCGAGCTCGTTGAGCTGCAGAAGCAGGCGCAGGCCCGCCTCGCGAGGACGCGCGAGCGCTTCCAGGAGGGGATGCGCGATGCGCGCGAGGTGCGCGGGGATCTGGAGTGGACACAGAAGAAAGTCTCGTGAGTTCTTTCGCACCGCCCAGGGAGACTTGTTTCCCGTCCGTGGGCCAATGACGCAGAGACACCGTGACTGACGCACGAATGTCTCGCACACAGCTCGCTCCAATCAAAGGCCTCGCGCAAGCACCCCAAGGATTACAGCAAGGCTCGCGCGCGATACCCGTCTCCCGAGTATTGAAAAACCCGCGCTCGAAATCAGCGAGCAGCGAGATGTGCGACGATTATGACAGTTTCCACATGTTCAGCGGATGCTTTTTCTTTGGCCTTGCTATCTACACCAAGAGCGCAGAAAAAGCGAAATCCGGATGTTTTACTAGCGACACGACAAAAAAGGGACGGCCGTCTGATATCAGCGATTTACGACTTTCTTCGTCTTCAGCCCTAGGACGCAAAATTCTTGCCCGGCCGGTGCGCGCGCGCAGATTTGGACACGGACTGACGTTGAATTAAGCTGCGGCTGGCGGCAATCTTGCATTGTGCTAGGCGCCAGATCCCTTGCTGCTTTATCGGCCCCTGCCGCTGCGCCGGGGGGGCGGGCAATTAAGCGCTGGCTCTCCACCGGCAAGGTTTCGCGGCCGCTGGCACGGGGTGTGGGGGGTCGAATGCGGCCGTTTCACGAGACGATGACTTATGATTGGATGAACTGGGACGATCTGGGGAAACAAAAAGGGCACGCCTGGTTCCTTGCGTCTTGGGTAGTCTGGGCCATTGGCCGAACCGACCGTCCGGTGCTCTCGCTCTGCGAGCAGGCCCCCGTTCGGTCGAGAGAGAGGGCGTGGCGGGTAGGACGATGAATGTCCTGCCTGCTGTAAGGTACCCTGTCGGGGCCTGAATTGGCGGAGAGACGGGCACACCGTGTAGCAAGCGGAGGGAGAAGGTCTGGACCCATAGGTACATCTCCTATTGCGACGAACTGTTGCTTCTTTGGGCGTGATGACGCAACCTGGGAGCTCCAGGTGCTACCCAATGTGGTAGAGCCGAATGTTCCAGGGCTTCGACAGTGCCTGGCAAGGCCGGGGTCCTTTTCCGTAGGCAAACTCAGCTCTCCGCCAGTGCCCGTGCAGCAGGCCAAGGAGCCACCCCGGCGTGAACGATGCCCCCAGCGTGACCGTAGCGAGCACAGAGGTGTGCCCCCCCTGATCCCAGTCTCCGGGACGTGCCGGATCATGTGATGTGAGCCGTCGGCGTCGATGACGAGGCATCGAGGGTTGGCGTGTCGCGTGTAAGTCGTTGGAGGGGTCACGTGACCGCAGCCCAACGCGTGAGGTCCAACCTAGCAGGGGCATGGACGAGACTCGATATCCTGCCCTACGCAACGCAGGTGGCCAGTATGGTGCGTCGGAGTCTTCGATATCGCCAGAGCGGTAACTGTTGGCGCCTCGAGAACCGTTGATACACTTGCGATGACCCTGATGCTGCGCCCTGGAGCTCATGTCTGGGCAGCCGTGGTTGCATGTTGGTGTCCGCGCGACAACCACGAACCCCTCGGCGACAAGCCCATGGATGATTCGAGGCGCTCCCAGGGGTTCTCGTTCGACGACGGGTCATAGTAGTCCTCGTACCAAGCTTTCCCGCTCGATGGGCCTCCGTCGCGAGTATGCTCTGGTAGCTCGCCGTGTCCGCGCCGCGGCGGCATGCCGACAAAGCCTGTCTCTTATACACATCTAGATGTGTATAAGAGACAGAGTATGCTCTGGTAGCTCGCCGTGTCCGCGCCGCGGCGGCATGCCGACAAAGCCTACCCCAGGCGCTGGTCGTTCTGGCAGCCCGGCCGGACGAGGCAACGAAGCGATGGGCGTGCTCTCGACTGCTGCTGCTGCTGCTACAGCGGCGTCGTCGCCGGCGACATCGGCCTCCTCATCGTCGTCGAGCGAGATCTCGTCCGTGTTGGTCGTCGTCGTCGGCGGCGGTGGGTGCACAGACGCAGCGCCTCCTGCACCGCGCTTCGTCGCCCCGAGAGGCGTCGCGTTCGAACCCGTCGAGGACGCGGCGCCTCGAGAGTTGCCCTGACGATGTTGCTGGTGATGATGCTGCTGCTTCGACGAGGGCTGGTGCTCGGTCGCGGCGTCGGCGAGGGGGTTGTAGCGGCGCTTCTTCTGCGGTCGGTCCTGCGCGCCAAAGGCCGAGAAGCCCATCATCTGGGCCATGGCGGCGGCATCGGCGTCATCGCCATCGCCCATTGCGGCCGGGTCCATGTTTCGCCCGCGGACAAGCTAACCAGGCTGCTGCAGGCGGGCGGGCGGCCGTGCGGGAAAAAAAATGAGATGGGCGCGCGCGCGACTGGGTGGCCGCTGTCGTGTCGTGTCGTGTCCTGCAGGCGGCTGAAAGGAGGGACGACCCCCGCGGAGCAGTGAGGAGAGAACTTGAAAAAAGAGCAACGGTCGCGCGCCGCGGCGGCGGCAGCTCCGCGAGCGAAAATGCGGTGAAGGATATAGCGCGGCGCAGGAGGGGAGCCCCAAACACCCCCAAGGCGCCGTCGAAAGTTGGTGTAGTGGTGGTGGCGGCGGTGGTGGATGTGTGGTGGTGGTGGTTGTGCACACACACGCGAAAGGGACTTCTCGCTCATCAAGGGAGGAAGATGGGATGGGCAGGATGGAAAGAGGGTGTGGTCGATTTCGGAGGACGGGCTAGGTGGGATTGGATTGGGCTGCAGGTCGATCATCCACCACTGGCTGGGCCGGATCAACTGGCCAGGCACATGACGCTTCCAGTTTCGCGGGGCGAATCATTCCACTGTGTTAGTAGTCGTCTTGCTGGGGTGGCGGGGCCTGCGACAGCTAATAACACCAATGGACAGATGGGTACCAGCCATACGTTAACGGGCACCTCGAGCTCGAGACGCCGGTCAAGCTAACCCGCAAGTCAACTCTGGCACGTCAAGGTGGCAGTACGCGAGCATCACTTCTGGCTGTATCTCGCAGGCACTGTACTCTGTCATTGCTGTATTTTCCATTCCCTGGCACTAAAAACGCCCTTGAGATGTTCCCAACGGGTTTTCCTAGTTGTCAAAGGTGCAAATGGTTAGTGCACAGCTTCCCTCGCCGACAATTCGGGGCCTCCAGCATACAGCCAACCTGAGTTGTAGGTAGAGACGAGGCACGGAAGTGGCCTGCCTGAATGCCTGCAGACATCTGAGGTACAAAACTGCGGCGCCTCAACTAAAGCAGACAGACTTTTATATCGCTATGTATTGGTATCGTTACTTTTGTTGCCATTGTTACTGCTGTTACAATCGTTGCCGTTGTTGCTGTCGTTACCGAGTAACGTACGGAATGGGGAGGCCCTGCTGATTGATAGTTTGACAGTGTCCTGCCTGTGCAACTAACCATTTGCACCTTTGCAAATGGAAACGCATCCCAAAAACATCTGCAATCATGTCGACTCCTCCCGTCCCTCTCGCTAGTTAGCTCATGCCATAGCGACAGTTGACCTTGTAGCCGCACGGGTTCATCCAGCACGCCGCCCCATCGTGAGGGCACTGCATCCGATTTCACGCACGGGTCAGCTGGCACTTCGCAGGGACCTCTGCTCGCAATAATTTCTTGGGGAGCGAGCGCACTTACCCCGAAGCCGCGCGTGCACCCCTGCGTCTTCATGTAAAAGTTGGCCTTGCCTGGCGCTGGGGGCCGGGGCACTCGGCCGCAGTCGTCGCCATGCGTCCATTTCCTGTTTCCCCACACACCGTGCTTGACCTTGAAGACGCACGTGTTCGACTTTCTGTCGCATTTCTGCACAGGGCGTCTGAGCAATCGTCCCTCCTTGACAAAGGGTTGGAAAAGGAATGCAGATCTGACTCACCCCCGGCCAATGGCCCCAGTACCCTTGCTGAGCCCAGGCATAGTCCAACTGGAAAGGCGAACGTAAGTTTTATAGTCCCTCCTGCAGAGTGGAAGGGCTTGACCTGATCTTTGTAAAAACTCACCTCGTCGTCCGAATGGTAGTCGCCCTCTGACGTGTCAGAGTCTGAGTCCATGACAGGGCCGCACATGGTTGTGAGAAAGAGACAGACGTGCTTGCTGGTGTCTTGGTCAATGGGCTCGTGAGCTTCGCAGTAAAGCACGACAGTAGCACATGCTGGATGAGCCGACAAGAGCTGCTCCTTTATATCTTTCCACTACGTCGGATGTGAATCTCGACAGGTCTTCTTTGCTGCTTCATCTTTCGACTTGCAAATGCACGTGGCGGAACTATAGGGACTTGATCGATGGGAAACGAGATGGCTCATGTAAGTGTTACTCAATTGTCGGTTTTGGTAACATAATTTTGCGATTCGCGGTGTTTCATGATCTCATGTCGACGACGCTCAGATCAAGGTGCACATGCCCGGAGCAGAGCACGTGGTCTCAGGGCGGGAATACCAGGTTCATGAACCGGGCAGACCGACTCGAACGCCTCGCAAAAGAGGTATTGGAAGTCTTTGCACGATTCTCGTCACCTATTCTGAGGGTTATCGCTTGTTAACGCGGGTTTCCAAATGTGGGTTCGCGCTACGAAGTACGAGGCACAGTTCCAGCGGCTAGGCCCAAGCTCCTCCGCTGATGAGCACTGGCTGGCATGACGTAGTGGAGGCCCCGGCATCTGAAGCTTCCGGCGTTAACGACAAAGATCCAATTAAAGCTGACAGGCACACAGGAGGACGGGCGCGCCCAGTTTCATGCTGTGCTTTGATACATAGCTGTCTTGTTTCGTCTTCACGGAGCAAGACTGAGCTCTGCCACTGATTTCGCCCACGTGCGCTCGCCATATCAAGGCTGTAGCTGGCCGACCTACGGAACGTTCGACTCCTAGTGTCCTGAATTGGGACATCTACAGCGGCGTCGCCAGCCGCCCTTGGCCCAAGCACTTCGCGCAGCCCAGCGCTCGAGCAACCTCACAATGGAATCACTCGCCCCCATATCACTCAAGCTGCCGTCCAAGTACGCGTCGGGCAAGCTCAGCACGAGCGACTCCACGCCGTCTGAGCCGTCCGTCGAATGGCTCACCGGCACCTGGACCGTCACCCACTCGACCCTATCCATGTGGCGCTCCGCGCGCAACGTCCGCATCAGCTACAAGCCCCTGCCCCCCAAGGCGGACGGCCGCCCGCGCATCGACGACCTCGTCGAGTACGAGCCCACGGACAAGACGGCCGTGCGCAAGACGGTCCAGGGCGTCGACACGCAGGCCGCCGCCGCCGGCGGCACGGGCGAAACGGGCGCCGGCGGATGGGACTGGCGCGGCAAGGGATGGCTGTTCTTCGTCGGCAGTCACTGGGAGGTGCTCGGCTGGGGGGAGGAGACGACCGCCGAGGGCGCGCGTGAGCGCTGGGCCGTGACGTGGTTCGCGCCGACGCTCTTCACCAAAGAGGGCGTGGACGTCTACTGCGACAGGAGGGAAGGGCTGAGCGAGGCGACGTACAAGAGGGTGGAGGAGGCGCTGAGGAAACTGGAGGCGCCCCCGGTTGTGAGCATGGTGGACAAGGACATGCGGCCCGTGGAAATTAAGCTGCCTTGGACGGAGAAGTGATACCCATACGATGTGACAGATATGGGGAGGAACATGACAAGTTGGTCGCTACAGCAAACAAGCAATCAATTCAGCGGCGCATACTTGACGCCTTGGGGTATCTCGTCGTTAGTCGTTTCTGTGATGTCGCGATCTGCGCTCGGGGGAGCGAGAACCATGGCGGCGCACGTGCTCTTGCTCTCGGTGCCGCTTCTGTTCAGGGTCCCTGCTATCGCCATCCCCGCGATGGCCCCGATCTCCATGAGATCCTCGGCGCGCATGGTCTTCGTCTCTGTGCCGCTTCCGTTCATGGTCCCTCCCATGCCCGTCTCCACGGTGGTCCCGGTCTCCGTGTGATCCGTGTCCGACACGGTCTTCATCTCTGTGTCGCTTTCGTTCATAGTCCTTCCCGTGCTCATCCCCGCGGTGGTGGCGATCTCGATGCGACTCTCGGCGTGGCGAACGGGAACGCGAGCGCGAACCAGATCGGCGTCTGTGTCCTCTCTTCACACGCTCCTCCCGTCGTTTCTCCTTCTCCCGACGCTTCTCTTCCTTGCGAAGCTGCTTGAGCTCCTTTTCGCGTTCTTCCGCAATCTTCTGCCGCTGCTGCTTCAACTCCTTCATCTTGGCCGATGCTTGTTTCATAATAGCCAGTGGATCATTGGCGATCAGCCGCTGCGCCTGTCGCTCCTTGCGTCTCGGATCTTCGTTGCCCCAGACGTCCTTGGAGGGCGCCGCCACGGCAGCGTGGTCAGACTGAGAATACCAGGGTTCGCTCACAGCGCCCTTGCCTGCAGCGTTGGCAAGGCGCATTCTATACTGATCCTCAATCTCCCGTCGCTTCGCACGAGCGTCTCTCTCCGCATCCTCGTTTCTTTCCGTATGGGCTCTGGCCTTTTCGTCGCCGAGGAGATCGATGTGGCCGGCACGGTCGACGATGGGTGCCGAGCTCGTCGGGTTTCGTGTTTGCTCGAGCGCATTCGCGGACGACGCTTCGGTCTGCTCTCGTGCCAAGCGCAGCTCAAAGTCGGTGTCGTCTTCGCCTGGCTTCTTTCGCTGTCTTCGTGGACGTGCGGTGTTCGGGTATCCGGACTCGGCCTCGCGTGTGGATGATGGGACTATAGCGTTTGGTTCCTCTCTTTCGGGGAGAGGTGGTGGCTCTTCGCCTCGAAGGATGGCTAGGCGGCGCTGCGCATCAATCTCTTGCATGCGCTGCTCCTCGGCCTCCTCGGCGGCCTTCGCTGCGGCCTCATCGCGGCGCACGCGTGCGATGTTGTCGGCGTTGTACACGTTCCATGACTTCTTGCCGAGGAGATGTCTGTCATTCATCAGTGAGCGCTTGCGTTGGCAATAGCCACCGCGGCCCGGGGTGGGAGCATACAGAGGCATGATGCCTTGCCGCAAGCCATGCGCTGGCTTGGCGGTCACGCGTGGTCACGGCCAAGGCTTGCTGCTGGGTTGAGGTGTCGATCCGCAAACGAAAGCAAACGGAGTGCAACGTGGCCGGTGTTGCAAAGGAGAAGGTTGCCTGAACGAACGTGGACAGCTTCGATGTCGCTATGTACCGATGCCTGGCAGCCGTGGAGACCCGCCGGTCCGCCGGCCAGTTGGCGGCTCGACGTGGGGCGTTGCAGCGACGGGGGCCGTTCAAGGCTGCCGTTCCGTGGCAGGGCACTAAGCCCCATAGGGAACATGCCCCCCTCGAAACCGCACCCGAGACCCTGTGTCATCATCGCCCCTCGTTCGTCAGCTCCAGAAGCTTCAACTTGTCCTTAGCATCCTCCTCCCATCTCCTCAAGTTTCCTCGCCCACGCGCGTCTTTCTCATATCCCATCTTTCCTCGCTTTTCCAATTTCCTACGATTCCCTGAGTTGTTCGGTCCTCCCAATTCGCCTCGTCTGCCGACGCAACCGCCGCGTGCCGGGCTCTATAGCAGGACACTCGTTACCCAGGCCCGGACAACAATCTCGACCATCATGTCGAGGGCTCCTCCGCCAGGCGGCTCCGGTCGCATGCCCTTCCTCGGTGGGCTTCCTGGAAGTAACCCGCGCGCGCCGCCACCGGGCCAAGGCCGTCCGTACGGAGGCGACGGGTATGGGCAGGGCTACGGTGCGCCGCAGGGTGGCGCCCCGCGCTCTCCCGGCATGTCGCGATATGGGGAGAAGGCCCAGCCCGGCGGTGGCCGCCAGGTGTCGTTGAGAGTCGAAAAGGTCACCGACAGGTCTCTTCAGTCGAGACTGATCTATGGAAATCTGTGAGTACCGGACGCACGCGCTTCCCCCGGCCAACGCATTGCTAATGCCATGTCTCTGCAGCTGCGCCGTTGCGCCCGAAGATTTCCCTCCCAGCCGTGACGGCTCCGACTTGTATATTCTGCTTCGAGGAGGCCAGCCAGTGGGAGAGTACGTCGTCACAGCGAAGCCCATCCCCGGCTTTCCTCCCGGATGCATCAGCTTGTCGGACCCTCAGCGAAGCTGGTGTGGCATCACCATGAGAGACCAGTTCACAGGCGAAATATACGATCCTTTCGCGCAAGGAAGCAAAGCCTACCTCGGCTCGCTCGACCTCGAAGTCGGCTTTGCTTCGCCGAACAAGAAGACAGATGTTCCCTACGATGAGGACGAACTCTCCAAGATCTTCGTCGACACGTACCAGAACCAAGTCCTGTCTCCTGGGCAAAAGGTACTGATGGATGTCCGAAACATCCCGCTCATGATTACGGTGAAGACCGTGGGGCTTGTTGATCTAGCCATGGCCACAGAGGACTCGAGCAAGCAGGTCTACAGAGAGTCCAACGCCCGCGGTATCCTCACGAACCAAACACGGGTTCTCTTCCACCGGGACGCCAAGGGCGACTTCAACCTGAAGCCCTCCATGTCCAAGCCGAATTCGAACGCCATCTTGGCCCCCGACTTCAAGTTTGAAGACATGGGCATCGGCGGTCTCGACAAGGAGTTCTCCATCATCTTCCGCAGAGCCTTTGCGTCGCGCGTCTTCCCGCCTGGCCTGGTCGCCAAGATGGGCATTCCCCACGTCAAGGGAATGTTGCTCTATGGCCCTCCCGGAACTGGCAAGACGCTCATTGCGCGCCAGATTGGCCAGATGCTGAATGCGCGCCCTCCCAAGGTCATCAACGGACCCGAGGTTCTCAACAAATACGTTGGCCAGTCGGAAGAGAACATTCGAAAGCTATTCGCAGACGCCGAGAAAGAGTATAAAGAGAAGGGCGACGAGAGCGGCCTCCACATCATCATCTTCGACGAGCTCGACGCTGTCTGCAAGCAGCGAGGATCGGGCGCCGGAGGTGGCACGGGCGTCGGTGACAGCGTCGTCAACCAGCTCCTTTCCAAGCTGGACGGTGTGGATCAGCTCAACAACATCCTTCTCATCGGAATGACAAACAGGAAGGACATGATAGACGATGCTCTGATGCGACCCGGACGCCTGGAAGTGCACATCGAAATCTCGCTGCCCGACGAACCTGGCCGGTTGGAAATCTTCAAGATCCATACGTCGAAGATGCGGACCAACGGCCTCCTTGCCGCGGACGTGAACCTGGAAGAGTTGGCGGGTCTTACCAAGAACTACTCGGGTGCTGAGATCAACGGTGTCGTCAAGGCTGCCGCCTCGTGCGCCTTCTCCCGCCACAGCGAGGTTGGGCAGCTCGCTGCCGTCAGGCAGGACGTTGCCAGCATGAAGGTCAACCGCGAAGACTTCATGAATGCACTGACAGAAGTGCGGCCAGCCTATGGTGTCTCGGAAGCGGAGCTGGAAGAAGCTGTTCGATTGGGTATCATCCCTTACAGCGCTCACGTCAACGCATCCGTTCAGGAGATGACGCGCGTCGTCGAGATGATCAAGAACGACCCCAACAAGTTCAGCACGTCTGTGCTCTTCCACGGACCAAAGTCGTCTGGAAAGACGGCTCTGGCTGCGCATATCGCCATGCAGTCCGGCATTCCCTTCGTCAAGATGGTCACACCTGCCGACCTCGTTGGGTACAGGGATGACTTTGCCAAGAAGGAATTCGTGCACAGAGCATTTGCAGATGCATATAAGTCGCCGACCAGTATCCTCATCCTTGATGACTTTGAGCGCTTGATTGGATGGAACCCTATCGGGCCCCGCTTCTCCAACACGATGCTTGAGGCTCTGACTACGCTCATTGTCTCGAAGCCGCCCAAGGCGAGTCAAAACTCCAAATGCATATCGTGTCAACTGAGTCTAACAGTGCAAACAGGGACACCGACTTCTCGTCTTCGTCACGACCTCCAAGGCGTCGGTTCTCAAGATGCTTGAGATTGACATGGATTTCGCAAAGAAGGTTGCCGTTCCGGCTGTTTCTAACCTGCAGGAACTCGGCACCGTGCTCCAGGAGTCGCGGGTGTTCAACTCCGGGGACATCAACCAAGTCATCAATAATATCCAGCAGCGGACGGGCTCTGATTCAGTGGGCATTGGCATCAAGACAATCCTGGACTGCATTTTTGAGGCCAAGGCTGGACCCGAGTCAGACGTTTTGGAAACATTCTCCGATCTCATACTTGAGAACCTACAGGAGATGCAAATTTAGACGGAGGGAAAATGGCGATACAGGTATCAGATAGACGGTAATCAGAGTCGATAACGGCGATAACCCTCAAAGGGTAGTCCTGCTCATTGCTATTTCCGGCTTCCTCGGTGACGGAGGTCCTCGATCACGAGCCAGCCATGTTGACGACGAGACTCGAAACGCACGAACGATCTGGGCCTGAGATGCTCTACTTGCAGCCCGTGGGCCAGGCCCATCGACTACTCGTTTCTAGCCCAATCTCCTCAGCTATAGCGAGAAAGCGCCAGTCACATTTTGCAGGATGCATGAAGGGCATGGTAGGCACGGCTAGTTCTTCGCCCTGATCTTTACATGTGTCTAAGACGCGCCGCAGTCAGGTCCTCACTGGCTCCCTCTCAAAAGCGCGGGCACCTAGTTCCTCTTTCGCAGCATGGCCTCCATCTTGGCAGAGTTTTCCGCAGCAACGTCCCCCATTGCCTGGAAGCGATCGAGCATCGTCTCCGTCTCGAGCGCCCGGTTGATGGCGTCGCGGTCCCACGTATTGACGCGATCCCCGGCGAGGCCCCTCGGGTCGGCGTTGGAGGCGTCTCGCTCGAACCACTTCCGACGGCCCTTTTGCTCCTCGGTCGGGCTCTGGGTCTGGTAGGCTGCCTTGAGCTTCTCCCAGCCCTGCGTGCTGCCCACGTCTTCGGCCACGTAGTGCCCGGAGCCGTCGAGGCAGATGAAGTCGGGCGTGGCGTCGGCGCGGCCCAGGATGGTCATGTAGTGCTCCCAGTTGTCGCCAAAGTCGTAGGTGTAGACCATTTTGTGGCCTGGTTCAATGGTTAGAATAAGAGTGGTGATGGTGGGTGGGGTTGTTAGTGATGTATACGAAGTGCATACCTTGGAACCGTGCGTCGTCAAACATCTCAAACAACTTAAACTTGTCGGCCTTCTTCTCAGTAGTGTTGGGATGCCGCCTCATCCCCTCATGCATGCGATCGATGCCCGAGAACATGGTCTGCTCCACGGGGTCGACAACGCGAAGCACATACTCCCTCGGCGTGGACGCCGGCGGGAGCCCCCTGCCCGTCGGCCCCGCGGCCATGCGCCTGTTGATGAAGCCCATGATGTCGTCGTCCTCGCGGTACGCGGGGTCCACGACGGCGAAGTCGAACGAGTGCGTCGTGGCCCAGCCAAACGCCGTCTGCAGCGCCATGTGCAGCATGTAGAAGACGGCGTGCGAGGGGCACGACAGCGTGCGCGTCACGGGCGGGCTCGCGATGTCGTCCGGGCTGAGGTGGAACTTGACGATGTAGTTGGGCCGGATGCAGCCCCGCTTGTGCGTCGGCCAGGCGGCCGTCTGGCACTCGGACGAGCAGTACTTGATCTTGCGGCATCGTGAGCACCGCCGGAGCGAGCTGGCGTCCGGGGGCGAGGGCGCCGACGAGCTCGTCGTGCAGGCGGCGTTGCCGCACTTGTCACTAGGTGCCATCCCGTCACAGTCCTGTCACACGGACGCTCACGCAATCAGAAGCCACGAAGCTGCTAGTGAGTGATTCTGTTCCTCTCAAAAGGCGTGATTGAGGACGTTTCTGACGTTGCGCGGAATAAGATGACGCGACGCTTTGTGCAAGAAAAAAGCAAAGAAAGAGGAAGTCAAGACACGATCAGGAGAAGGTGAGGACTGATTGCCGGGGGTTCAATATTAGGTTCACCAGGACCCCTGGCATTCTTATGCCACATGGCCTGGTGCGAGGCATGCAAACGGTGGGAACGCCCGCCAGGCATCATATAAATGCCCTGTGTTAACTGCTGGATTCAAGGCTTGATTCACGGGTCGATTGACTGCCGGGTCCACTGGTAGATTGACTGCGAGATTGACAACTTGACTGACCAGCGGGTCGAGTTTCGAACTGACTGCTACAGTCACGTCTGGGCTGACTGCCGGATTGACTTCCAATTGCCATATTCACTGCTGGGCGGATGACGGGACGGGCTGCTAAACTGACTGTTGGAGTGACTGGTGAATTGGCTGTTGCATTCACTGGTGGACTGAATCCACAGCGTTTGCGTTGATGCCCTCCTGACTGCCAGCCTCGCTGTGCGCGGGATTAACTTCACAATACCTAGCTATATGACATATCAGCCGATTCATCAAGCAGTCCCAAGAGTCAATCTGGCAGCCAGTCGAACAATCAACCTGTCGGGCAAAGTAGTTGGTAAGAATAGTGCTATTCGTAAAGCCAACTTTTGCTACATAGTTGTAAAGCCGTCCTACGCTTTTCTCGGCCACGCCACACCGCCATGCTGCGCCAGCGATTTTTATTGTGCAGGCATGGGACGACAGCGGCGTTCTGCTTATTGCTAGGAATTTGCTACTGTTCCTACCTTTACTGACATTGCTGCTGTTACTGACGTTGCTGTCGTTACCGACGTTGCTGCCGTTGCTGCCGTCGCTTCTCTGGCTGCCGCTGGCTGCCGTTGCTGCTGCGGTATTGGCGATCTCTATTATGTACGCCCTAGCAAGAAAAAGTCGGCTCTACGAAGCACTACTCCTTCGTAAAACCAAATGCGTTAATTGAGGTGGCTGGGGGCGGCACTTCGAAAGGACAACCGCCCTTGAGCCCCAGCGGCATTGTGAACCCAGGGACCCGGTGAGCTGGGTCTCCAAGGTGTGACGTACGCTGCATCATCGGACTAGTCTTCCCGGTGCAGATGCTTGTGGGCACGAGGCACGCAGGGCAGGGCAGGCAAGGGTCGAGCCACCTCAAGCATCCAAGCAAAAAGGAAGAAGGCAGGGTGAGAGTGAGACCTTGTGCAGCCTCGACGGCGAGAGAGGGAAGCCGGCGATTGGATACCGCACAGCACTGGTCTTCTGCAGCGGCACAGGCCGTGCATGCTCGTGGTACCAGTGTCGCAAGTGTTTCTTGGAGCTACGAGTGCTGCTACTAGCAAAGTTGGCGGGCACCGGCGGGGTGGGATACTGTTGCCGTGAATGGTGGTGTGGAGACGCGGAATGGGGTCACGGTGAGGGCGAGTCCATCCTCGCTTGGATGGTCGACGGCGAGAGACACAGCGGAAGGACGGATATGGCGATGTCTTGCGACGCCATGGTGGGGTTCTGTCACGGGACGGTCCAGGTTGGACGTGCCGTGACGGTCCGAGAGTCGACGAAAGCTGCTGTCGGGTCGGAGAGGTCGGCGGACGAGCAGCTTCGGGGCCGATGACTGACAGAACACACGGACAGTCACGAAGAGCGGTGGAAGGAGGGGACACTGACAAACGCCCGCCCGGGCGGGAGCTGGAGTGGGATACTATTAGCGGGCGGCGGGTCGGGGCGGGCCAGCAGGAATGGGGGGGAG